TTGATTGTATTAACTTGATTCTTTAGATATTGAAAATTAAATAAATAACATTATGTTAATTTAAGCGTACAGAAACGTTGCTGTTGTTCCAGCAAAGATCTTATTTTAACTTTACCGAGTGCCTAGTAGGTAATTCGCAGATTACCTAGATAATCTGCAGATTACCTAGGTAATTTGAGAAATGGAATAATTTTCGCAGCTTTAACGGATCACCCTAGTTAATCTGCAGATTAGCTAGGTAATGTACACATTAACGGATTTCGAGCTTTAGCGGTAACATATATATTAGTATTAGAATAAAACATGTATAATTCTATTGATAGAAGAAATTTCATGTTCCTTTTTAATTAAAAGCTGGTTTCCTGAAGCTGTTGGTGTTTATTTATTCTGCTGTTAGATAGATATTATTAGATAAATATATTATCTCTGGAATTTGATAAGGAACTTTCATTAAACACATATAATAAAGATGAAGAAATTACAGACAGTCCTCACTTTGCATGTGTGTTATGCACATATTTCAGTTACTATCAAGTTAAAATTTAACTGTTTTTGTCCCTCAAAATGAATGCTACCTTAGAATGCTTGAAATACCAGTCTCCAACATGGTTTAAATTTCAATTACCAGAGTATATTAACTATAAGTATTGTGTAATTTTCATTTCTCTTTTCAGTGCAAAAATCACTAAATCTAAACAACAAATGTGCATCACGATTAATGAGCAATCCTGTCACCTGTTTGAAAGTCATTGTACAGTACCTATATATATTATTTAGTTTATACAGAGACAGGAAGCCTTGTTGAGATTTAATTTTAATTCTGTTCACTTTCCATTATTCAGATGTCCATTAAGATTAGTTTTACTGTATATAAATTTTTTACTTAGTAAGAGTTTCTTTCATCTAATACAGGGGTGGCGAACCTATGGCACATGTGCCCAAAGTAGCACGTAAGGAGAAATAATCTGGCACGTAACGTATCGTATAATTTTGACTTATCGTTTGTCTTTTTCAATCATTGTTTCATTTATTCTAATTAAAGCATTTTCGTTTAATTTATTTAAATATCGTTATTCAAAGTTTAAAACATTGGCATGCATAAACATCTTTAAAGCTAAGTATGCTTACAGTATGGCACGCGGGCTCAAAAAGGTTCACCACCCGATCTAATACATTTTGTCATTTAACAATTGCCATTGTCTTAGATGTGTCCAAAATGTTGAAACTTTTTAATTGCAGGAATGACCACTGCATTTTAATGTAACAATCCATTTGGTATATAAATCATGAAAACAAATTTTATATTTTATAATATTAATTCATATAAGAACTCTAGAATTTGCGAATTACTTTCTAATCATTTCGTTTTTATATTTATCAGGAAATTAAAGTGCAAGATACAAAATAATTGAACAGCAAGTTAATGAAGAAATATTTTTATAATAGTTGTGTAAAATTAGTATGATTTACATACAATAAAGATGATTTATCAAATTTTTAGTTTTTTTTCTTTATTAATATATCATCACTAATTACATATTAATTAATAAGAAAAATTTCACCTGTTCCACTGATGTGAGAATGTGATTTGACAATACACAGGAATTTTCATGGCCACAACACATCCACTTCTGTTCTGGCAAGGTGATCAATGCAAAGCAATTATTTACTGCCAATATTTCGCAACAAGCAAGTGTGAGGACCCGAAGGGGTCGACTGAGAGGTCCGAATGATGGGTATCGATCGGAAATTTAAAGTGCGCCTTTTCAGATGCGAATGGAAAGAATTAGATGTCTCAATTGAACAATGGAAATTTTTGTGTAAATTAGTTAAACAATGGAAAGGAATAACGTTGAGAAAAACGACGAAAGAGGAATCATATTCAGTCGCGATGCTGACCTCTTCCGCACCCTCCATCAGGTTTCAAATTGTCACCAGGTGACAAGGAGAGACCAATGGGGAGGCGGCTGAGGTTAGGAAATCTATAAAACCGTGCGATTCAAGTTACAAAGGTTCTTGGTTTTTGGTTCATAGTCTTATCCTCCTGGATGTGTGTGTCCCTGCTGAATCTTGAAAAGAATGTTTCGGATTTAGTGGAAGCAACTGCATCTGTAGTGTCACCGGACGACCTCCAGGCTCGTCGGTTCGTCCAAAACCGACGAGCCTGGAGGTCGTCCACCTGAAGCAGTGCCATTCGCCCCGGGACCGATGATTATTTCACCGTCTTTGCCGAACTGTAGGAAACGGAAACACAAACTTTTCGAACTCTACTTGAACTTTATCCTCATGCTTCGTGATGTGATAATCCGTCAATCAAGAAAATATTGTAAGAAATTTTAATGTTATTAAACAGTTTTACATGGTAAACCTGTCTCGGTGAGTCATTCTGCGCCCACACAATAGTATTGATTGCTCGGCTGTTGAAAACTCCTCACCCCAATCGCTAACCCTACACAAGTGCTGGTTGTGGCTGATCTTGTGGAACAATCCATCAATTTTCTCTATATCTTCCACACTGAACCACGGAATAATCCAACTGCAATAGACATTGATATAGACATCAATATCAATGTCTATACATAGAATTAGCATCCCAAAAAAGTGCAATGCATTAAAGAGAAGGTTCCAAAAAGCATGTTTATGTAAGTCAATTAGGCTTCTAGAAAACTAGTAGTATGGAATCCTAAAGGAGTTTATTGAATTAGAAGACAGAATATACCAAGAAAATCCAGAATGATTAAAAGAAATCAATAGCAGTGTGGTAAAACTAACAGACCAGGTACAAGATAGCCTCAAAAGAAAGTACAGTAGACCCCCCCCTATAACACTGTAGATAATTCCGTATTATATGAATTCCATGTTGTACGAGTCACTTAGATTTTACAAATACGTGAGCCATTCACAGCCCGGCACACGTATTTGTAAAATCTAAGTGACTCGTACAACATGGAANCATGTTGTACGAGTCACTTAGATTTTACAAATACGTGAGCCATTCACAGCCCGGCACACGTATTTGTAAAATCTAAGTGACTCGTACAACATGGAATTCATATAACACGGAATTATCTACAGTGTTATAAGGGAATCTACTGTATATCAGAAAGATGAATTGGATCCTAAAGAAACAAGCTCTGCACAGAAAGAAAAAGGATATAAAACCATATGTACCGGTACTTTGGGACCAGATAAAAATACTGAAAGATATAGAGAGGGTGTTAAAGAATGAGCCCAATTACGTTCCAAACAAAAGTATGTGGCAAACTTCAATGGCTGAAATGGAGAGAAATGGCGGGTTTTAGTAATGTAGAGGATTATTTTAGATGGAAAATGGTATTCAATGAAAAGGGATCACATGAGCAAAAAGGAAAGGAACAGTTAAATGTTAAATGTAAGGTATACAGAAGAATGGCTAACAAAAAATCAGTTGGTTCTAACAAAGGCAGATAAAACCAAACAAATAGTAATCATAAAAAGAGGCATTACAATGAAGCCATTGAGGAATATATTAGAACTGAATGCAAGATTGTGGATGAAAAGATAGTTACATTAACTGACAAAAAAGTTAAAAAGCTTGAAAAAAATGCCACTTGCATCTGTCACGACATTCTTGAAAAGAGGACATAACCCCAGCCCACGGATGCATAGAATCTTTCCATTCACAAAGACATACAAAGAGAACAAGGAGATCAGACTGTTGGTGGAAAAATGTAACGTACTAACACATATACTAGAGAAGTGCTTAAAAAGTATATTTCTTAACCACTAGAACACAGTAATTATGTTACTCATGATCTAAATAGATAGTAAAAGAATTACAAGACCTAACTTTAATGAACAATGATATAGGGACTGTAATGGACTTTGAAAATCTGTACCCATCTATTAATCTAGCATCTTGCTTCAGTGCACTCATTGAATTCATGGTTCAACACAATCCGATGTTATCAACATACTCAGAGGTCATAAATAATCTAGCAGACTTGATGTGCTACCAATCCTTTTTTTAGATTCAACAGGGTGACATACAAACAAAAGAAAGGTATCCTAATGGGAAGTCCTATGTCAAGGACTCTTGTGTGAACTAGTGCTACATGAGCTGGAAAAAGACATCCTCAAAGATTTCTTTAAAGACATTATAATCTACAAGCAATGTGTCAATGACGTATTTATAATTTTGAAAAATAACTGACGAATTTAAGAATTTTTACTTGCAATCAAAAATAATGATCATGGTTTAAAACTAAAAGTGGAACAAAAAGCTATACTCATCTTCATTTTTTGGACATTGATATAAGATTTAAACAAGGAAATATACACATGGGTGTGTATTTAAAACCCACACATGTTCCTCTCTATATACCATCTTGCTTGGTCCAACAACCCATATAAATATAAATTATCATCATTTAAAGCACTTATCAGAAGAGCATTTTTATATTGTACCAATGTGCAGGATCATCTCAAGGAGATTAATAGAATTAAGTGTTGCAACAACTTTGAGATACAAAACTGCCACAATTGAAGGGCTGATCAGAGGTTACAGAGAAAATAAAGGCAAGCAAGATACCACCTCAGAAGGAATTGTGAGTTCCCAGACGAGGTTCGAACTCGAGTAAACCGTGAAATTCTTGCGCGACACAAGATGTAAACAATGAGACTCGGGACGGTTAGAGTATGTGTCAACTATCTGTTAAGGTCTTAGTGGAAGACAAACTCTAACACGAGCGCTCATAAACAGGTAGATCTTTGACTCGCGTGTCTATAAAATGTTGGCCGAAATAAACCTTTTCGAACAAAAAAATAGAGGAATTTTTGATAGGTGAAAGGTGAAAATGATCGTTAAATTCTTAGACGTCAAAAATGGTAAATAACGGCCTGAGTTATGAGTGCAGGTGTTATTATTTTATAAACAGTCCTCGAACAGAGTCGACAAAGAGGTATCAGATGGACACCTCGAATCGGACCTTTCCCGCGACCCGAAAAAGTTTCGTCTTGCACCTGGAGACAAAGGAGAAACCAATCGGGAAGCGAGAAAAGGGACGAGGGACCAATCCGAAAGGCGAACAGTGGGGGAAAAACTATAAAAATCGGAACTTCAAGGTCGAAGAAGAGTCTCCTCCGGATTAACCCTACAGTGGTGATTAAATTTGTGTTGTGCATCCGCCGCTCACCGAGGACACCGCAACGAAACGACGAACTTCTGCTTCGTCCGGATATCCTTCTCGTCCGCCCGAACTGCAACCGAGATCACGAACTTTCGCCGTTCCCAGGAGATTTTGGAATTATCCTATATCGATGTAAGCATGAATTCGAACAAATAAACGGGTTTTATCTTGTAAAACACTTGTGCATCATTTGCCTCCTTCGCCACCGCCCACATACGCGGTTTCCCTTAGGCTCATTCTGACGTGAGATAGACTTTTTCCCCCTCAACGTCGGCAAACCTTACACTGGCGTCAGAAGTTGGATTTTAGGCCCAATCTACACCAGAGTTAACCTTACACTGGTGTCAGAAGCTCGGGATTATTTGTGTCCCACAACATTTGAGTAAGTGAGCCGACGAAAAGTTTATCTAGAAAGTGGGTTGAACGATGGAGGCTGATGCAAGTGTTCCGACGCGACCTCGAGACGGTAGCAGTAGCGGCTCTTTCTCCTCTTTCTCCGCGTTCGGAGGAATGATTCCGACATTTTCGGGCGAAACGGGACGCGTGTCTGATTTTTTCGACACATTGGGAGAAATCGCGAGTTTGGCGGGATGGACGCCTCGCCAGTGTCTGAGCATTGCCAAGTGCAAGCTCACGGGCGTGGCTCGAGACTTCGCGTGGCGCGACCTGCAGATGAAATGCGTGACGGACTTCGATACTTTTAAAACACTAATGATTCAACGATTTGATCGTGAGCCGTACTCTATTAAGGTACAAAAATTCCACGCGTGTACCCAGAGGAGAGATGAAAAGGTGCAGGAGTTCGCGGTCCGCTTGCAGACTCTCGCTAGCGCAACGGCCATAGATCACACGGGCGCAAACGAACAGGAGAGCGCAGTTATTAAACGCTGTCAACAGCGAGAACTGGACGAAAAATTGCGTGTCCAATTCTTGCATGGCCTAACTGATAGACTAAAGAGGCAGGTTATGACGCACGATCCGGCGACCTTCGCCGAAGCGCTCAAAATCGCGATCCGCGAAGAGACAATAGATCAATTGGCAGGAAAAACGCGGAGTTTAGTCGCCATCGTGTTACAAGGTATCAAGGTATCGTTACAAGGTATCGTATTTCATCTTCGCTCCTGTTCAAGTTTATTGTCTAGACTCGGCATGGCCAATATCCGGCCAATCTAATGAATTTAAATCAGCCCGCGATTAATCTTGCAATATTAGTTACTCAAGTCCGAATAGCTCGACTAAAAATTCTGACCCCTAAAAAAAGGTAAACAACTCACTGTGCGTTTAGAGTTAACGCTCCATTACAAATCTATTAATTAAGTACAGCGTAGAATGTTGATAATGCATGATAATGTGAAAAAATGTGAATATTCTGTATATATAAATATAAATGTGTAAATATTTATTATATATAGATATAAGGAGAATTAATTCATGCCCATTCTTTGTGATAGAGACCATAAAATTGAGAATGTTTTTAAGAAGAAAATACCAATTTACGACAATTTATGGTAATATTAAAACATCACACTATTTTAACCATTGTTTATCAGCATTATTCTTCATTCCAATAATTATTTATAATTATTTGGCCCTTAATTACAGAAATGTACAGAAAATTACTGAAACTATTTTTCATAAAAATAATTCACTAATAAATTTTTTAAGCATTAAAAATGTTTTATCCTACACGAAAAATTTATAAACTTATCGACGAACACCTTAAAAAAACGTGCGGCGACATTGCTCATCCAGCTAAAACGCACTTTAATTTTTATTCTGGTTATTATTTTGTCTGTGATGCTGCTTTATTTTTATATTTTTGAAATAGATTTTAATTAACTTTCTAATGACTTCGTACAGGATAATAATCGTGATAAATTTTCTACCAACGTTTAAAAAAACTGTCTCTAAATTTAAAATACGTATATTTAAATTCGGTTCTCGATCCCCTGAGTACCTACAGTACAAGAGTGGTTTTTTTATGCGCACATGATTTGGGCACCTAATACTTTATTTTAAATATTTTTTGGGCCGAATTTTAATAAACCTTTTTAGTGATAAGTTTGTTTTAAATGAGATTGCTATTTTTTAAATTAATAAACTAATTTAACAAGACCTAACTTTAATGAACAATGATATAGGGACTGTAATGGACTTTGAAAATCTGTACCCATCTATTAATCTAGCATCTTGCTTCAGTGCACTCATTGAATTCATGGTTCAACACAATCCGATGTTATCAACATACTCAGAGGTCATAAATAATCTAGCAGACTTGATGTGCTACCAATCCTTTTTTTAGATTCAACAGGGTGACATACAAACAAAAGAAAGGTATCCTAATGGGAAGTCCTATGTCAAGGACTCTTGTGTGAACTAGTGCTACATGAGCTGGAAAAAGACATCCTCAAAGATTTCTTTAAAGACATTATAATCTACAAGCAATGTGTCAATGACGTATTTATAATTTTGAAAAATAACTGACGAATTTAAGAATTTTTACTTGCAATCAAAAATAATGATCATGGTTTAAAACTAANTAGAATGTTCATAATGCATGATAATGTGAAAAAATGTGAATATTCTGTATATATAAATATAAATGTGTAAATATTTATTATATATAGATATAAGGAGAATTAATTCATGCCCATTCTTTGTGATAGAGACCATAAAATTGAGAATGTTTTTAAGAAGAAAATACCAATTTACGACAATTTATGGTAATATTAAAACATCACACTATTTTAACCATTGTTTATCAGCATTATTCTTCATTCCAATAATTATTTATAATTATTTGGCCCTTAATTACAGAAATGTACAGAAAATTACTGAAACTATTTTTCATAAAAATAATTCACTAATAAATTTTTTAAGCATTAAAAATGTTTTATCCTACACGAAAAATTTATAAACTTATCGACGAACACCTTAAAAAAACGTGCGGCGACATTGCTCATCCAGCTAAAACGCATTTTAATTTTTATTCTGGTTATTATTTTGTCTGTGATGCTGCTTTATTTTTATATTTTTGAAATAGATTTTAATTAACTTTCTAATGACTTCGTACAGGATAATAATCGTGATAAATTTTCTACCAACGTTTAAAAAAACTGTCTCTAAATTTAAAATACGTATATTTAAATTCGGTTCTCGATCCCCTGAGTACCTACAAGAGTGGTTTTTTTATGCGCACATGATTTGGGCACCTAATACTTTATTTTAAATATTTTTTGGGCCGAATTTTAATAAACCTTTTTAGTGATAAGTTTGTTTTAAATGAGATTGCTATTTTTTAAATTAATAAACTAATTTATTAATGTAAATAAATATAAAGTATAAAATGTATAATAATATATGTATGATTTGGAAATTTTCATATGAAATGATTATATGAACATTAAAATAATTATTTTAAAAGTATACATAAAAAAATTAAGTGAATAAACAAAATAATATACTATTAATAAATAATAAATTTTATATTTTCTCAATAATAAAATTGATTTTTACATTGTCTTCTTTGCTGTATTAGTTTCCTATTTATGTCATTAATAACGCATAAATGATTGTATTTAATATTCTAGTCTTAACTTTTTTTAGTACACTATCATATTTTTATTTATTTTTTAATTTTTTCGTTTTTACTTGTATTCTAAATTGTAACTTTTATTCCAAATTAGATTTAATCAATCAATGGCTTCTTCAAGTAAGATGATGAAGATGACCGAGGAAGAGGAAGTGGTAACCTTCCTAGAGCAGCTGTCCGACATCCAATAATTCTACATACAATTAATCGTGTTAATTGTAGTTCTTATTTCTACATACAATTTAATTTTTACTATTAATGTTATTTTCATTACAATATGGTACATGTAAAATTTTAATTGTTGTATATAATAGTAAGCGAGTAAATTACAAGGATACATGGCATACAGACAGTGAAATAACACCCACAATGATTTCTAAACTGCTGCGATTGCATAGCTGAAAAGTAATCTACTAGGGATCTTCCGGTAGCTCCCCGTTACAGACACGCGGAGGCAGAATATGATGTTCTACATCGGAGCTACCGGAAGATCCCTCAAAGAAAGGATGGCAGAACACCAGAGAAACATAAGAAGCGAACAACCGTGCACAGCGCTGGCGACTTACGTCTTAGCTGACCCCCAAGAGGTCAAAGCTGAATGGGACCGAGCCAAACTGATACAAATAGGGCGACAAAAAGCACCTCCGGTACGCTGAAGCCTGGCATATCTGCAAAACAAGCCAAAAAGGATTAGCTATCAACTTCCGAGATGCAAGCAAAGTATCGGCAGCCTGGCGAGCAAGTATATTATAAACATCAAGAACGATGGACAGCGGCTACTTACTTAAGGGCAGAAATCTTAATTTAATGTATTTGCTAAACACGTTGTGTATGTTTGGTATTTTATGTCTGTATTTTATGTTTATTTTTTTTACTGTTATTTTATATCCTGAACGTCATATTTTTAACGTTCTAATAGCTAATGTGGTTATATAATGACAACCGTTATATAGAGATGGCGTTATTCCAGTAGAATATCATTTTTAAAAACGTTCCAAAACGCTTGTATCGTTAATTCAAGTTCGGAGTTCGATTTTTTCTGTTTTTTCTTGAGAAAGGTCATTGAATATGACCGAAAACGTTAGAATTTAATAAATACGGCTGCATATTTAAAGGTTTTCTTGAGTGTGTTTAGTTAGTAAGAAATTGCAGTCTACAATGAGTTCTATATGATGAGTTCCACTCTTTGCTTGCTCTTTCTTCTCTCCCCGATGATACATAATGAAAGTTATTTTAATAACTGCACCAATCATCACATCCCTTGAAAGGGTGAAAGGGAATCAGTAACCTTTCAATGGAATCAGTAAATGGATGGGTCGCAGGTGGAAGCTTCTTCGTAAGACGAGCGTCAACTTTTCATAGAACCCCTCCATAGGAGTACTGTACCCCTCCGTAGCCTCTGGATGTTTATTGACATAGCTCTCTCTCCCTTTTCTTCCAATAGACTATAAATGAATATCGTCTTTCCTAAACAGGAATGCAATGTAACAGAATAAAGATTGAACATTCTACATGTTTTAAAAAATTTCCAATTTTTATTGCTATTTCTGTTTCCTACATTTTATTTAATGTATATATAATAAAATTGTTGATTAAAGACCTTCCCAAATTATTTATTTACATTTTAGTGAAATATTATTAAATGTAGGAATTTTTATGTGTATGAATAATTTTATTGACTGCCTATATTTTTGATTCTTGCAACATTCCACAGTGAAACCAATTTTAAAACTCTTTCCGCCCTGTTGGAACTAAGAGGGCCTCTTTTAGCAAGCCCATTATGGGGTTCGGCCAGGCCCACAATGGAGAGGCCGAGTCCGACACATCCGGTATTCGGTCGGATCACCCCCTGGGTCATCCGTTCGGATTCGATCCCGGGTCCTCCAGAGTGGTAAGCTGCCATGAACTCTCGGCCATCCGGCTGTCTGCTATTATCTACTACAGGATTTATTGGTCTCATTTTTTTTTATCATTCTTATAGAAAAAATTAATCCATATGTTTAGATCATATAAGAACACATAGACCTTATCCATTGTTTTTCAAGTTTTTTGTCTAGGTTATCTCATCTTCAGTCTTCCTGTTATCTTTTATGTTGTATACGGAAATATCCCGTTCAAAAACACAAAAAAAGTTGAAAGGTCAAGTATAGTTTTCTCGCTCATAATTTTTTTTCTGGTTGGATAAACAATAACTGATAAACCCTTCAATGCCTAGTACTATGAGTCAGGAACGGATTAATCTGGTGTATATTGTTTCTTATGGGAAAAATTGTTTCGGTTGTTTCGGTTTTAGAACAAATTATGTTTGACTGTATTACAAATTTTAAAGAAACGCTGATTTGTAGTTTTTTTTTTTCAACTTTTAGCAGATCTATAAATTTTTGCAGTTTTTCATTAAATAGAATTACCATAGTCGATTTTTCCTAGGAATGTCCTCTTTTTAAACGAAAAGTCTTGTATGGATGGATCTATATATACAAATAAATAAATAAATAAATAAATAAATATAAAAGATAATGACAAAAAAAGTAAAAACATATGTATACTATATATATTTCTGTATTTTTTATAATACGATTTGTATTCATTATAAAAGAAATATTGTAGACTTAATATTTATATGATACAAGCTTACCCGTGGCGCATTGCTGCGATCTCAGAAGAAAGGAAATTCAAGCAAACTCGTTATGATAAAATTCAATTTACATTTTATTATTTTTATTGAAACTTATTATTATTATTCATTTTCATGGGAAAAACATTTCACAGTGTCGTTTCAATTCTATTTATTTATTGGAGTGTTTGTGGATACACGATATTTTTTGTTTTTCCCTCTGGTGTGTACACGAATAAATCGGAAGATTTTTCGACGCGTGAGCCGGCCACATACAGTTGTCCATGCGAGAAGCACGGATTCTCCAAATTTAGCCCACACACTCGCAGCGATTGTCAGAAGTGCGATATTCCCCATTTTTATATATATATTTTTTAATCCTTTATAATTTTAATTATTTAATTGCTCCTTCCTCTCTTCCTTGGCATGTTGTGAAATTTCTGATAGTTGGATAATAAACCGTTTTATTGTAATTTGTCTTTTTAAATTATTTTGAGTCGATATTAAAATTTGGAAAAGGGGGGATACCTAGATCGGTAAAATACGCGAATTTCTTCCTACAACTTCGGTTGTTGTTCGGGGTACAGTTAAGGTTTTAACGAAGCTCGAGCGAATACATAATTAGAAAAAAAAAGTTGAAATAAAGTGATTAAACAAAAATTATTATAAATATCGTAAATAACAGTTCACAAATGCATATATAGAGATATTTTTTGAAGGGGGGAAATGGTCTTTACAATTTGAAATCGATCCAACACACTGTGCGCGAATGCTCGTGTAAACGCGCGCCATCTATCGTAGGATAAATGTACTTCGCGGGAGTGTATTAAAAAATTAAAAAAACTTTCCAAAGTTTTATGGCAATCGTACTATGGCACAAACCTTCGCCGGAGTATATTAAACAACTTTCCAAAGTTTCACGGCAATCGGATAAACGGTGTGGTAATGCATGAAGGACAGACATACACACACACACACATACATTCATTTTTATATATATAGATTATTTTTCATTTATAAAAAAAAAGTTTTCCAAAGTGTTCACTTACATATAATTTAAAGCAATTTATATCGAAGTTAATTCTCTTAAACATATAAACAGGCACCTAGATTGTTCGGTATCGCTATTCGCTCTCGTAAATCTAAGCGACAAAATGCCGATCGCGTAAATCCAAAACGATCCAAACGAATCTATTCAAAATTTTGAACGTTCACAAAACTCGTCACGAACACTAACTAGTTTAAATTTCATCCAAATCGGTTTATTGGTCATGGAGATATTAAAGGTCAAAGTTGGGACTTCAACAATTACACACGTGACTTTAGAGCGCTGTATAATATAAAACCAAGGGCTTTAAACTACTACCGGTATGTAGTATATAGTCCTTGATATAAAACATTTCATTATTAAGTAAATTTTACTTTCTCAGAACGTATGTCAAGAATATTTAACTTTATTATATTAATGTTATTAATCAAATATACATTTCGATAAAATAAAATGAAAGTACTTTTATTATTTTTTTAAATTTTTTTTAAGGTGACGTAATTTAACGGAAAATGTTACATACGTATTTCATTGATTGCAACTTCCGATAGCGGCAATACCTCGGCACGATTTATGGAATCGTGACCGCGGTTCATTCATTTTTACCTTTCTTTTAAATTTCATAATAAAAAAATACTATATTTTAAAAATGACGTAAAGATTAAAGCAAGATAAAATTATCATTTTCTCTTCAAGTTCATTACAAGCTTTTAATTAGAGCGAGAAGAGAAATTGAGTATTTTCTAACATTTAAAATAGTCCACGTGTTAATTTAATATGAAGTGAATGTTTTAATAATTTAAAGGTAATAGATAATTTAATATAAATTTAATATACCAAAGTAATTTTTCTTTAAATTAAGGGTAATTAAGAACTGATTTATAATCATATCTTATCTAATTTTGAATCATTTATGGTGATTTAAAACATATTTCAATTGTAATTAATGCAATTATAAAATATTAAATAAATAAGGCAGTATTTTTAAAAATAATGTTATTTCAAAATTAAATAACTTCATTATAACCTATTTAAAATATAGTTTTTTAAATTCAATTTTGATTTAAATAACTTAATTTTTGAATAGAAAATTCAATTATTATATGATTTATTTACTGTAATTGAAATTAATAACACAAATTTAATTATGTCTCATGGCTCTAGCTAAGTTCTATCTCTTGTTTATAAATTCTGATGGATTTATTAACCAATGTGTTTGAATTAACTACTTTTGGACAAAAGTCTGTAATTTTGATTAGAAATTGAAATATTTAATTGGTTAATTGGCTAGAAAGCCTGTTGAGTTTTATAGTTAAAAAAATCTTAATTGACTTTAGATGAGATTTGTATCAGAGATTGGGAAACCTGCAGCTTATCGTGATTTCTTGTATGGCCTTATAAAATATAAAATAAGTTTAATTTTGCTGTTATAAGTTTTTAATAATGAAATAAATCTATGTTTTTCAAAGTTAACTGATATATTTTCAAACAAGAATTTTCTAAAATTTGCAAAAACATGCTAGAACTTTTGACAGGAATAATTTCTGTCATTTTCAGATGTAAATGTTTGAATGTTAAATGGTTTATTAGAGTTGTTATTGATTTATCGTTCTCTTATAGTATGGAGGCACTTTGATCTAAATGAAAGAGTTAACATATGCATAACACTGTTCAGACAGAATTTTCACTTCAAATTTTGAAGTAGCCATATTTTGAACAGATTTGTTAACATGTAAATCTCCAGCTGGGACAAATAATACAGTTGTGAATTTGACTAACAGGATTTTATTCAAGTTCATATTAGCAAGGATTTCCTATATGTGTAAATACATGAATTAAGAGAAAATATTAAGACATAATTTACTCAGTCCCAAATATTCACAAAAATGGGTGGATCAGTGTGTGTACATATATTTCTTTTCTATTTATTAAATCATGTACTGCAGTTTTAATTTAAAAACAAATTAAAACTGCAATTTTAAAAATTTTAAAAACTTTAAGTTTTTTAAAAAAGTTTTCAGAAAAATGAATGGTTTTATTAAATAAATATACTATGCAATGGTTTATAATGCTGCAAAAGTCATTTTATTTAAGCCAAAAGAAAAAAATAAACAAAACAGTAACATAACTTATGACAGACATCGTAGGAATGAATGAGTGCAGTGATCTTTTAACAATGCACCTTCCTGAACATGCAGTTTGTGCAGGCACAAACTCTATTTTACAGTAGTACATAATCTATTTTCCAAAAGATTGAAACTTTTCATAAAAATTGAAATTTTGGTGCATAAATTTCTGATCACAAATGATCAAATTCCCAAACACATGATCATGAACCTCAAGTAAATTGACATTCTACATTCTAGATTGTTTTATGTTAGTTATACAGGAATGAAAAATATATTAAGAATAAATTTAATATATTATTATATTCTCTGAAATTATGAAGATATATATTATGTTGTTTTTATTTTATTTTTTATAGCTAAAACATAGAAACAAAAATGGCTGATATTACAGAACCTGTCTTAGTTGCTGTTTTATATAAAAATTCAATTACTAATCAACAAGATGAAGATCGATCATCTATTATTGGTACAATTTTAATTCATGATAGAAGTGTTAAATTAGAAAAATTAAGAAGTGACCTTAAAAGACTAGTTCCTGCATTACCTTCTGACTTTCAGTTTGTTACTAAAGAAAGGTAGTATTTTATTTAATTTAACAATATTTAATATATTATTAGCTTTTAATGATTTATTTTAATGTCCTACCTTCAAAAAGCATTGTTCTCAGAACATAGTTTTATTTAAGAATAATTTTTTACTACATTTCCAAACTAAAAGAATAAATCTATACTAATATTATAAAGAGGTAATGTTTGTAAGTATGATGTATGTAAGTTTGTTTGCAGCAGGTAATCTCCGAAACTACTCATCCGATTTCAAAAATTCTTTCACCAATATTTAGAATGGAACCTCAGGGTGGACATAGGCTGTATATTATTCCGTTAAACATTCATATAAATTAAAATATATAATCTAGGTTAAGGCTTTTATGTCCAACAGATAGCGCTATGAGTACGACGCCCTAAGTTTGCTTTTCTGTGAGGCATTATGCTTTTCTGTGAAAATGAACTAAAGCGGATCATCTTCTATCTATCTATATAAATAAAAATGTAATGTTCGTTTGTTCCTACCGATTCCTTTGAAATTTTGACACAACGCTGCATTCGAATATGCACATGTTTTTATATAATATACGTGTCGAAATTTCCCCTACTGAAGGGAGATGGTTAAGATTAAGGCTTACTGTAAAGAACTCTGCTTCTATTTATACTATTTTAGATTCGGTTTTTTGTGTTTTAATAGGGTATGTCAACAGAATGTACACTAAGAAGAAATTTTTCGAAAAATTTCCTCCCCCATGGGGAAGTGTTATAAATTTATAATAGATACATTTTGAGCCACAACAATGTGTGGCGGGGTCTGCTAGTGTATAATAAAAACACCAATTTTTGATCTTCAGTTAATGTATTAAATAATCAAAATTTTTTTGATCTTTTGAAGGCCATCATCTGTGTTTTCAGAAAAGGAACATTATTTTGAAAATGAAAGAACATAAGATTCAGAACATTCCTATTCAAAACATCATTAATTTGAGATGATTATTGGCATTTGAAGCATTGTTATTTCAAATGTTTAAAAACATGAAACATTCTTTGCATGGAGAGTTTTTGACAAATCAAAAAATATTCATAAAAATATAAAACATGGGACATTCCATTCTAGAAAAAGAAAAACAAATCCATTTGAAAATCCATAAATCTATCTATTCTATATCTTGTAATTGAATAATGTTCTCTATCAGTTTAAACAATGGATATGTGGAGAGCCAATGTAGGGTACAGAGAGATCAATCAGACAAAGAATTAGAATTAGATCAAATAAGGTAGATACAAAAATGATATAAACTAGATGAAGAATAAATTAAAGTTCAAACAAAGCTTTCCAAGCAAGAGAAATAAAGCTCTGATGTATATAACTAATGCATGTTACTTTCTTTTCAGCCTGATATATTTGTAGTTCTAATGGTTTTAGTTTTCTATATTTCTTGTGTGATGGATTTCTATCTACTCTATTTGATCTTATTCTAATTCTTTGTCTCATTGAGCTTTCAAATGGCTTATTGGCTTATTTTTTTTCAGGACATGGAAAATATTCCTTGTTTTAAAAAATTTTAAACAATCTTAAAAAAAAAAAAAAAAAACTATGCATAGAATGTTCCATGTTCTTAAAAGTTTGAGATAATGATATTCTAAATGCCAATATTTGTTTGAAATTAGCTATGCTTTGAATGCCAATGTTTTTTCATTTTGAAAATGATGTTCTTTTTTGAAAGCACTGGAGATAAAGATTAGTGTTTTTATTATAATTTTGTAAAGACTTTCATTATAAATTCATGTAAATCTTTTTTCTGTAAGTTAAATTAAGCTATCATGGTTTAATTTCTAAAAATCAATTCAAATAGTTTTTATCCAAATTATAGAACTCAAACATACGTATTGAAGTGTGATGCTGTTTGGAGCTTTACAGAAAATTGTTAAAATCAATTTTTGAAAAAAATGAATTAGTTTTAAGATAAAATATAAGGAAGCGAGGTCTTAAAAACATCATAAAAGATATTTAGCATGATATTGTGATATCTCATTTATGCCAAATAATCTGTATGTTGCAAAAAAGATCTATAAAATAGAAATTATTGTAGTGTTAAGTATTAAGCATCAAATTAGTTCATTAAAAACAATTCAAATGCAAATACTTCAGCATTTGTTATGTAAAGATGCTTCAGATTACAATATTTGAATAGAGACAGTTTTTGAACACAACAAGAAAATGATTAAAATTACAATTTTTAATTTGTTTTAATGTTATTTCTCATAATTGAACTTTTTATTTTCTCACCTGATATATTTTATAATGATGAAAATCATAAAATCAAATGATGAAGATAATTCTTGTAGTCTGACAATGATCTTGTTGTCAATGTAATTACATGAATAAGTGTAGTTTTTCCCTGTTCTAGCAAGGGATCTATAAAGGTTGTCTAGAGGAAATGTTGAAATGTCTCAAACTTGGAAATCACAAAGTAAAACTAATATACCAGTGATATCTGAAATTAGAGATGCAGAAGTATTTTAAAAGTGGTCTTAATTCAGGAAATATTTAAAGCATAAGTAGTGCTTCCATAAGGCAGATGTGGCAAAAGCACAAACTCATAATATCCATGTTGTGCACAGTACTTTATATTGCCCAATATGCAGTTTGCAAACCTGATCACTCTGCCATTGATCTTTGATGAGAGCTAAACAAGAATCTCTGCAATACATTTACATTTAGTATTAAAATTGTATGAGGAAGATGGTATAATTGCTAGAAAGTAAGATACTGCAGTGGATCATGAAATGAATCAATATATTCAATATTGTAAAGAAAAATTCTAAAAAATCCAGGACAAAATATATTTATATAAAATATGCACAGCAGAGTTTATTTTTCTTTTTAGACTACTTTCCCTGCTTATATTTATGTAAATCAAGTAAAAAGTTCCTTGACGCTGTGTTGATCATGTTCCTGTGATGTTGAAAGGGACGACAGAGAAGATAAGAATAATGTATTTGTATTGGTCTTTAATGCTTTGTATTTTTACAATGTATTTTATATAAATGAAATGAATAACTGGTTAGGAGTAACATGAAACAAAAATTATATAATTTTTGTTTCATGTTACTCCTAACCAGTTATTCATTACTCATAACCAGTTATTTGTACAAAAAGTAAATTAACCAGTACAAAAAGTAAATTATATTGTTGTTGGAATAAACAGGTTGAAATAACCTGCTCATTCCAACATCAATATAATTTTTGTTTCATGTTATTCAGGTTCTCACAACCTGAGCTTCAAAAAATATTGCAGGAAAGACTTTTTGTACAATTTTTAGAAGCTTAGGAACAGAAAATAAGTATTCATAACATTGATGTAATGATTGAGCACTTTTGAGTGCTACTGAGTTAAGCAACCACAGTTTTGGTAAAATGAATTGGTAGAAGGAATATAATAAAATTCCATCTCTAGACATTACATACAAGATGAAGCCAATATTGCAACTTGCATTGACATGTTTTTATAGCATGCAACTGACAAAATACAATTTTTCTCAACAACTACAATTTACAACAGCAATCAGTTGGGGTTTAAGAAGGAACTTTGTGCCATGTACATTAGCACCTGTATGCTCAAAGCAGGTTAAAGCATGTGCCCAATTGCTTCATAGTTGACACTTTCATGTGTATAATACCAGTAATAAGTATGAATGGTGTGCTTTTTCCAAAATCGTATATCTGCTTGCAAGAGACAACACATTTGGACCCTGTGTATGAGAGTCTATGTTCAAATCCTCAATTTCATAATTTATGTCTTATCCTCCAGTAAAATGACCAAAGCAAATTTGGACTGATTTTACAATGATATCTATTTTCAATACATAGAGGATATTTGCTCCTACTCGTTGATTTCTGGTCCAGAAATAATAACAACAGAGTGATAGAGTTAGTAGAAACGACAAGCAAGATTTAGTTGTTGGACTGACAATTCTTCTGGCAGTAGAAGAATTTGTGTTGTCAAATCATAGAAAAAATTATAGCAAATTCAAGGAGTTCATGTATATTTTAACAATATCTTGTTGAAATATACATGAACAACTTGAATTTGCTATTCCTGCATGCATTACTAATTCTTTTCACCAAAATTTAGAAATGTGATTCAGTATGCCTAGTACACTATATAATATACTGTACCAATAACCATCTAGTATATTTGTAATACCAGCTGCTTCATATAATTATGTTTTATTGTATATTATTGGAATAATTTTTCAAAGTTATTTTAATTTTTTAAATTTAATATTACTTCAAAATGTTCATATAATTAATTTCTTGAATTACATTGTTTTTAGTGTGAATATTCATATAGATGATTAAAGATGTTTTACTATTAGTGTAATTTGTAATATTTGTACAGTTATTTATTGACTTTATTATTTCTTTAGTTGGCCTATTGCAGATATTTGTGAAAGTGAAATAAAAGCAAGTCAGATTATTGGAATTGATAATATATTAAGAATTTGCAGAAAATTTGGTAAGCTAAAATTCGGTAATTTTATTATTGTTATAATTATATAATATTATAAATTAGTTAAATAGAAGAAATGTTAATATTTAAGATATTGAAAATTAAAATACTTTAAATTTAATTGCTTTTCTTTCTAACTCAATCTAATTTATAAGGATTTTTATTTTTTCAGTTAAGAGCATATTTTAGAAATAAATAAATAAAAATAAATATGATATCTATACACGTATATCATATTTTATTTATTTAATNAGTCCTTTATTAAATCAGATATTTTAGACCATAAGAGTGCCGTAGAAGTGTCAAAATGACTTGCAAGATTTGTAACTGAATTTGAATTAATATTAGATGACTCACCTGTTGAACTCAATAAATTTTGCTGGTTAGACTCTCTTATTTCTTCTTGCAAATCACTATTTAACTGTATTCCATAGTCCGTAATGAGTTTTGAGCTTGAAGAACCTGAATAATCTTGTTTGTTCTCTGTTCTCGATCTTGTAAGTGGCGGTCTTCCTCGCTTAACTGGGGATCTTTGCATAATGTTATTTTTTGAAATATTACTTTCCTCCTTTAACTTGAAGTATATAATATTAGTTTGCACTTATTTAATAATAAATCAATCAAAAAGACTATTATTTGTCACTTTACTATCCTTATGTAAAGTTCACAAAAAAAGTCACTCGCAGCTTCGACGTCCTGACACGCCCCCCCCTTAATTATAATATTATAATAACTATAATATTAATTATTAAAAGAGTAATAAGGAGTGTCTTATGCTGAATATTAAAATTAGAGTTATAAAATATAGTTAACCTTCCATGAACCAGGTGAATAAAGGTTACAGCTTGAACCATGTGGGATTAATTTTACCCAGAACATTATCTATTTATAAATATATAATTTTAATAAAAATTCACTTTAAAATGTGTTTCATCATTTTTTATTAAGTATAGATCCAAATAAAACATTTATAACAATTTATTTTTTAAAAATAAAAGACAAACAAAAATTTATTAACTTCTGACTGACTGAAAATTGAAACTGTCTGTAGAACCAATTTTTTTAAACATCCTTTTTTGTGATAAAATTTTAATACTTATTAATATAATCTAGACATAGTAATCCTTAAAAAATAAGAGAAAAATTCATTTATATAATCTGTCTTGGCAAGATCATTCAGTGCATAATTTGATGCATTCTTTGCATATAAAATGGAGTGTTCTTGACATATTGGTGAAGTATATATTATGCATGTATTCAAGTCTTACGATACATATTTCTTTGATACTCAGAGCATCTCTGAACTATTTTACCTCATTTTGGAAATGTTTCTTGAGTTTTTTCAAGATGTTCTGGAAGTTGTGTATGTAAGTCCTAGAATAGTCTCTGATTATCTTTTCTGTTCCTTATGTGTTCTTATAGTAGTGACAGTCCCAATTTCTTAATAAAACTTTGTTTTTTGATTAGTTTTTTTTTTTACTTTATTATTTATTATGTGTATTACCATAGCATTGATGCATGCATGATTTAGTGTAGCAAAACATGTGGTGAGTGGCCAACATTTAGAATTGTGTGACATGTCATATATTCTTGCAAGTTTATCCACATCGACTCCATATTTGTTTGATTGCAAAACATTATAAAATATTGTTTCCTTTTATCTCTACTTTCTATATCAAACTTCTGATCATGGTATAAGGTGGACATCATATGTACAAACTTGTGTGGTTTTGAAATGTAGGAGACAAGAATAACATCTTTTTGAAATCTAAATAGAGATGATCTTTCTTTGCACTTTGCCTTGTGGTGGAATGCAAGTTTTGTCTGCTCAAATATGGCATTACAGATGATTCAGTGTTTGTTGATAACTCTGGCATCTGCTTTACTATCAGAACCTGATTGCATACTCAGATTATCTTATTCATTGTCACTGTCAGTAAGAAAAACGTCGTCATTGGAGAAATTGTTGTTTTCTTCCAAAAGAGCTGAAGAAATGTTATTATCCTGAAACTTATGAGACATTTTATGGTTTTAAAAAAAATCATGCTAAAGCATGTTTAAAAAAGCAATTATAATCTAAAAGCAACATAAAAATACACTGTGACCTTTTTCATACTTCCATCAGATTAAGAAAGGTATTGTGCAACAGTATTAAATATACAATTTCTTTAATGGACTCTTCTGATTAGATTAATTCAGGATGCCAGATCTCACTCAAAATTAAATCATCATTTAACTTTATTTTAAAATTTGTTGAAATTTTTATAACTTAAGTGCTCATGTAATTTTTTTTTTAATGATATTTCTTTCAAGAAAATCTGAACACTATTTAGTAAAATTTGGCAACCGACATTAACTAGTGGATAGCAACAACAGAATCTGAATAATTATATTTTATTGCATGAATATGTTCTCTAAACCTGCTTTTTAGCTATCTTCCTATTTCTCTGATACAGTAGACCCCCCTATAACATAGTAGATATGTTCTGTTTTATATGAATTTTGTGTTTTATGAGTCACTTAAATACACGAGCCAATCACAGCCTGGCATGTATGCAGTTTAGGAACTATGGCTGTTTGAAAGGTTTTCTTCCATAAAATTCGATTCTAGACTAATTTGACTCAACATTTCCAAAACACATATAATTTTTTGGGAATAATCCATATAAACTATGCTATAAACAAAAAATTGTAGGATTACTTATCGAGTGTGCACTGTTTGATGACTCCATTGCTTAAGCTTGTTTTCGTCGCGGAGCGGTGCATCGAATGGAAGGCGCATGTTTTCTGATAAGTTATTTTTCTACGAAAAATTTGCTGAACTTTGGAGACATCATTAATATAAATATAATTTTTATGGCTGTTAAATAATAAATGATTTTTAGTAGGTCTGCTGCTTGTTTAAACTCAATGGTTTGTGAAATATCTGCTATTGGTCTAGATTCGACCAATCCTGTCGCAACATGAGTCGGCGATGACGTTTTACCATATTATACGAGTCTCTTTTAGTGTGTTTATACGAATACGATCTCCATTTTTTTGCCATGTTATACGAATCCATATTATATGAACCTGTGTTCTAGGGGATCTACTGTATATTGAAAATTGTGGTTGGCAATTGCACGAGAATTTATACACATTATCATATTTAAAAAATCTATATCTATTATTTTAATATTATTTCAATTATTATTTAACTGTTTAATAATTGTATTATGTAGGATTGGTGCTAAAAGAATATTAAATGGGTTAAAAAAAATTTTTTTTTAACAACTATTTAATATGTGATCAGTATTTTAACCTGCATCATTTGGTAAAATTATATTTCTTACGTATTAACCTATAGTAGTATATATAATATAATTGTAATGAATATAATAATTTTGCTGGTTCTACATATATAGGCATACCTGGCTAATAAGGCATGTTAGATTTCAGACCACTGCTTTAAAGCAAAAATTTCATTAAAGTGAAACGCTATCTTTTATTCAATTGCCAGTGTATATAAAAGCATAAAAGCATTTATACTATCATTTATTAAGTGTGTGATAGTGCTAGGTCTTAAAAAAGATTCAAAAGTAAAGATAATAAATAAAAAAAAACTTCAAAATTCCTTTAGAGCATAGCAAGCATCAAAAATAATACGCATGGATACAAATTATATTCAGTTATTAATTGAAAAGTTCCATAATAGCAAAGCACTTTAAAGTAATGTATGACTGTAATTAATGTAAATATAAAAAAATGTTAAACTTGAATTTTTAAAATTATTTACAATTGATAAAATTTCATTAAAATATAAAATTTTTAAAAATTTAATTTTATTAGATCTTCCACCAGTTGGTATAAAATTTCAAGAAAGGTCAATAGGATTTGTATTTGTAAATCTAAATAGCACATTACAACAAATTCGTGAAATTATTCAAAGTCAGGTTTGTAATTTAGTATTATTATTATTATTAGTTTAAATTTAAAATATTAAATATATTATTCTAATCAATAAACAATTGATGATATGAATCCACTAAAAGTTTTTAAACTATGTTAGGGTATTAAAAAAATTAAAATAATCAAAACTTGAAAAATCACAAAAAAATTACTTACTGCAAACATAAATACTCATAAGTATTTTTAATAATTAACACATTAGTCTAGTCAGATATTCAAAACAAAAATAGAATAAGAACAATTTTCTTTTATCAAACACTACCAAAAATTAATGATTTTCCTTTTTTAAACAGTTATTTTGAGAACAAACAATGTTTAACCTAATAAGAATTAAAAAAGTACTATAAATACATAGAAATAAACGTGTGTTATTCTTAACAGACAGAATCAGAGTAAATTATATATCGAAACTACCAACAGAACTCTAAAAACAGTTTTAGAAAAATTTAGTTAAGTCAGTTTTTGTAAATTGTACTTTTAAATTTGGAGGGTTTTGGAAAGGAAAGCACTTTATAAAAATTTCTTCTTAAAAGTTATTCATGACTATAGAAAATTAAACGTATGTTATTAAATGTTAGTTTTTTTTATTAATAAATAAATAATTTAATGATACTGGAATATTACTAAAAATACTGNTTTTAAATTTGGAGGGTTTTGGAAAGGAAAGCACTTTATAAAAATTTCTTCTTAAAAGTTATTCATGACTATAGAAAATTAAACGTATGTTATTAAATGTTAGTTTTTTTTATTAATAAATAAATAATTTAATGATACTGGAATATTACTAAAAATACTGTATATTATTGTTATTATACTGTTTATAATTAAAAATTATAATCTTAAAGTAAAAATTTTTATTTATATATGGATTATGTTATAAGATTCCTCAAGTTTGGGAAGTAGAAATGTTTACGTAAAGTGCAAATATGTTTTCAGATAAATGCTAATTTAGAGCTTTGAATCAACTGATTTTTAAAGAACTTTGTTTTATTAGGAGTTGAAATATTATGATAATCCAAAATAATTTGAGTTAACTGTAAACCAGAATTGGAGAGCACACCAATCATTTAATACAAGAAAATTCTTAACATACAGGCATTAAAATACAGTGGTGCCTCGTATAGAGTACTTAATCCGTTCTAGGTGCACATCTGTTAAGTGAAAAGTCCATTATACGAAACGCATTTTCCCATAGAAATACATGTTAAAACATATAATTCGTTCCGCAGCATAAAATAACCGTACTGTACCATAAAAAAAAATGAAAATGGAGCAGTCACCAATTATGCCGGGTAGTCAGATGCTGTGAGGAGGAGCTGGAGGAACACTTTCTTCACACATTCATACAGATACAGACTTTTTACACATTGCAGCAGGTCTCTTTTTATTGGTTTTTAATCAGAGTCAGATACAGGAGAGGCTACTGGAGCTTGCAGGGTCATCTCCTCTTGTTGCATCCTTTGTTTTTTGGCAGCTGGCTTCTTGAAAAACATGTCCAAAGTAGTCTGTTTTGCTCTCTTCTTCAACATCTGTCAGAAATGACGGGCAAGGGTGTCATTGTAGAGATCATTAATCTTGTTGGTTTCAGCTGTGTTCGGATAGTGAGTGTTCGTAAACTCCTGAACTTATCCCCATTTGACAGGGAAGTTTTTGTCAACTTTCACTCCTTCTGATGATGTCTTGCTTTGTTTCAATTGAAATCACCTTTCTGTTTTTTTAGAAGCCATGATTTGCACAACACTTGAATAAATGTAAATACTCTGCACTGATGTACGTAATAAACAAGGGAGCAAGCTGAATCCTAATGGGAGCTCTGTACTTCAGATATACTAATAATATATTCTAATAATACTAATATATTATAAAAAATAGCAGATTGTCATTGGAAATGGCAAAAGAGTGGCAACATCATTCATACTTGTTCACAGAAATACCGTTGTTCGCCTCACATAACTGCTGAATAGAAAGTCCGTTGTTTGCAGCCAGTCCATTGCTTGAGTCACATAACAGCCAAACAGAAAGTTTGTTGTTTGCAGCGTCTGCTATTCGAGGCGTACATTATACGAGGTACCACTGTACAAATAAATGTTGCTATATTAACAAGTACTTTTGACGAGACTTATTTTCGTCTTTGTCAGGTTGATAAAGATGGTTAACATCCTTTTTTGAATACGAATATCAAATTATTCCAACGGTATTAACGCTTTGGAATGAAACCAATGATGGAACGTAACATAAAGAATTTAAATAAAACATGTGCGGTTATAATGCACATATGCTATAAGTCGCCAAAATGTGGAGCTAGATACATTGTCTTAGACTGTTATGAGACCTTATGAATTTATTATTTCTCTCTTGTAATAATTTTATGCAACTTAACTTATGTAGTAAATTAATATTAAATTAATTTAAAATGATTTTAATTTATAATTTAACTTGTGAATATTTTTATTTTTGTTACTTTTAATTTTAAAAATTATTAATTTATGTATTAATGATGTTTTTCCACAGTTAAACAATAGTTTACCAGATTCATTTATATATATAAATCAACAGAAACAATGGCCAGTGTCAAAAGAACAAGAATGCAAATTGATAGGTTGGGATATATTATATCATGAACATTTCATGTTGAGTTCTAATGTAAAGTCCTTTCGTGCCCAATGTAAAGATAGTTCTGAAAATATAAAACGAAAAAAGTGCAAAACTAATAGGTAAATATGGATTTTACAGTTAATAAAATAGCTTAATAACTATATAAAAGTTATTATTTATTACAGTGAAAGAGACAAGTTAATGGAAATGTCAGTAGCAGAAAGACGAAATTCTCTCCCTAATCTAAATTTCTATCAAAACAAGAAAATATTAATTAGTTATGTACGAGCTGAAGCTTCCAAACATGCAAGGGATCTCAAGAGAGAGTTAGCTGATTTAGGTTTCAATGTATTTCTTGTAAGTAGATATATATCACACTATTTTGAATTAAAAATCAATAAATTATAATATTGATATCGTAAATTAAATTAAATTTGAAAAAATTTATCACAGTGAGAAGCTGAATATGTTGTTGAAATTGAAAAGTGTTATTTTTGCAGAGTCAGTTAAAAAATAGAATGATATGCATTTATTACATCATATATCTTTTATTTTGCAAATAATTAAATGTAATTATTTTTTTCATAATTAGTAAATTTGACTATCAGAATTGGCCAAATTAGGCCCTGGAGGTGAGAATATAGCTGTGCCTGTTTCTGTGTTGGGTTTTTCGTACTCAAAGTATTTGTGACTTTTGCAAACTACATTTATGGGGGGGGGAGACTAAGGGCATCCCAAACACTGGAAAAAGCTGGACATAGATATTGTAAAGAATAAAATGTTGGCACTGTTGTCATGATACCTATCAGCCATTTAATAGTGACATATCTTGCTATGTTTGCATGTTTTTAGCCATATTTTGTGCAACTGATAACTTGTTTTTGAAACTCTTTCAATTTAGTGTTTATCACAAATATCACATAAAGTTTTTAGATGTCTTTTTAAACTTAGATGATAATGTGTTGTGCTTTTATTTACAATATATCAAAATGTAAATAGGGTAACATCTCTTTCCAAAGCTGATTAGAATCAAGCATGATGATTTAGCACAACCATAGAGATTTTTTTGTTAATCACAGACAGAGTTTTATAATATCTGGAATTGCCTTAGAGTTCACTTTATAGTAGAGTAATACCCCAAACTTATGCGATAGGTGGGACCGAGCGATAACCACGTAAGTCGAATTAGCGTAAGTCGGGGTATAATTTTGCAATTTGTGTAAAATCCAAGTCGGATGTATGTAAGCTAATAAATGTTCTCGTTAATCTTATCTCGTCTTTTGATTCGTTCACGGTTACAAGAAATCACCACATAGAGTCTCTCAAGTCTCCATAGATATAACAAATACAGAAATAAATAACACAAAATAAATTGGAGCTATGTGTCGATTCTGTGTGACACGTCAGAACATGTAAGCCGAACAATAGTGTGGGAGGAGTGAGTAATCAAGAGTTGCATGGCACTCAAGCAAAAGACGAATCGATGAGATTTGAAAATCGCGTAAGTCGGGGTAGCGTAAGTCAAGGTATTACTGTATATTTACTCAGTTTTTTTCATGACACACTACTACTGACCATGACGATCTAAAATTGTAGTAATTTAAGATGTTAATTTGCTTTTCTTATAAATTGATGAATGTATTGTATTTCAATTTCTAATAAATATGTGTAAATAAATTTTATTTCATTTCTTTATTTTCTTTGTCTGCAAAATTTTGGCCACTTTCTAGTTTTCCATCATTGCCCCAGATACTATCCAGTATTATCCCACTCCATAAGGGGAATACTGGATGCTGCCCGGTTATCTAGTTTTTATTTTTTTGGGAAAAAACAGATTGAATGTTTTAATATCATATATCATATATTAGTCAATAGATAGAAGTATTAATTGATGTAAAAAAGGTTTACATTTTGTCTATGGGTCTCATGATATAGACTAAAATGCAATTGGTAGCTAGAATTCTCCTTATTTTCTCCTACAGTGCATATCTGGAACATTACGTGAATTATAAACATTACATGCACATGAATTATTATAAATATTGACTTTGTGCAATAATTTGTTCATGAACATTTTTGCAGGTTTTTCAACCAAACATTACAGTATAATCATGCACTGTTTCATCTTCAGACTGATATCAAGAGCATATATAAATGAATCAGAGGTGCACAGCAGCATGTACTGGTACAAAATGTATGACATGTCTGCAACATTCAGATTGTATATTACTTGTCAAATATTGCAAAAATAAAAAACATTCAGTAATCTGGAACCACTCTAGTTCCATAGGTGTCAGCTTTAATGAACTTCTACTGTTTCTTCTGTAGTTAGTTATTTTTTGAAGATATATATCATTTCCTTCTGAACAATTTATTCTATAATAATTATAAAAACTCAATATAATTAGAAATTTGTTTAATTAGTTTAAAAATATATATATTATATCTTATGTCAAACTGAGAAAAATATTCAGTATTGTATGAGTCATATTTATACAGTTTCACTGTGCATGCTCAATTCTGTTAAATCAATTTTTTATATAAATAAAACTTATACAATATAGTTAAGTCTAAGTAACTATGAACACAATATGAAATGTTTTGAAAAAAACACCATGCATATACAGTATGTACTGCCATCTAGCAGAGTTACATCACTTTTCCAACTTCTTTCATGTTTTGCTAATTTCTCACTAATTATTTTTTAATATTAGTTTTCCAAATATAATACCATACTTCAATAGTACAACTTTTTTATAGATAATTGCTTGATGGGCAGCTGCTGATTGATATGTGATGTCTTTCCATCTAGCAAACAGAGAAACAAAGAGAAAGATAGAAATCTGTTACAGTTTAATTTATATAATATAGATTTTGAGATCATACGTATGTTTAAACTTTCTCCTGAATCAACAGATTCAAAATATGAAGTTTGGTTAAAATATATTCAGGTGCTTTCCTGTGATGTGGCAACGAACATCTAAACTGACTCTGACTGATCATTACAGTTTCATTTATATAGATTGTATATGCAATAACATTTTTATTGCATATACAATCTATATGCAATAATATAATATAGTATTTTAGAATAAATGACATTTTACAAATTAAATGAATATTAAATGTCTTCAATTTTAATTAAACTGTCTTCAATTTTATTAAAATTATTGTAGAAAATTCACATTTGAAGTTATAGTAGAAGTCCAGCACCTATGCAATCAGAGTAATGCCAGATTACCAAATGTTTTTATATTTTTGCAAAAATTTTATAAGTTATATATGATTTGAATGTTGCAGACATGACATACATTTCATACTAATACATGCTGCTGTATGCTTCTGATTCATTTACGTATACTCTTGAAATCAATCTGAAGATGATGCAATGCATGATTATACTGTGTTAAGTTTAGTTGAAAAACCTGAAAAAATGTTCATGAACACATTATTACAATATGCAGTATTACTGAATTCAAAACACATGCAAGCTCTAATGAAGCAATGCTCTTTCAGTATAATACAATATGAACTATGTATTGTTCACTGAATTACATTGCATAAGGGTTTGAGGTTATCTTTAATATTTTTGAGACAATATTTATGGAACTTTTTCATCCAGTACCCTCTGAAAAGTAGCCAGATTATTGTATACTTTTTAAGGGGTACTAGATTATCAAAAATTCCAGATTGTCATTGCTGGATTAACATACTTCTATTGTAGTTTAGTTTAAAAAGTGAAGAAAGTAACTTGAATAAATTTGAATTTCATTTCAAATTTTTTTTGTTTTAAATTTTATATCATAATATAACTGACTTCCTAATGTTCTCTTAACTTCCTATTTGAGTATCAAGAAAGTCATGCAAGACACCTTGCTAGTTTACAATTGATATTACCAAATCTCTGAATCTTATTTTTCAAGAATTTATCAATTATTTTTCTGTAATACAATAAAAATATGTATATTTATTTATTTATTATTAAAAAACATTTTATATCTGATAATGATAAAGAAATACATCATTGCTATTTATGTATGTTGTTATGATAAAATACATGATCTTAGTATAATTCATAGAAATAAAATATTTAATAAATGTTTGTTATAATTCAGATATTTGAGCAAAATAAAAGAATTATGATAGCATGGTTTATATATATATATATAAACTAGTTCATGAATATGTAGTTTTTAAATAAATGGATAGCATGTATATTTAATGTATCAACTTTCAACTAACTTATGTATTTTTCTCATAAAATACTTTTTAAACATTGTTCAAAATTTTAGTTTTATATAATTACTAGCTGTTACCCACAGCTTTGCCTGCACAGATTTTGCAATTTCATAGGAATAACTCTCCCTTGGTACTTCACTAAGATTCTCAATCATTAGTTCTTACTAATTTTATAAAATTACTGATTTTTGTTTGTTTCAAACTATGGACTGCTAATGCATCTAAATTCAAGTTTCAAATAATATGGGATTCCGAGATACAATAAATCTGAGTTTAATTTTTTTTTCAAAACATAAATGACATTATCTGAAAATTACTAAAGTATAAATACTTACAGAAAAATAGTTTCAATTATCCCAGTACCTCTTTGTAAACCACGTTTGTGGTACTGCCTTTTGGGGGCTAAGACTTTTTAAGCCTTAATCTTCTCCCTCTTCCCCCACAGGGAATTTCCAAAAATCCTTTCTTAGTGTGCATTCTCATTGCATACCCTACTAAAACACAGTTAAAAACAAAAAAATCGCATATAAAATAGTACAGTAGAAGCTGTTCTTCAGGTTAAGCCTTAATTCTCTCTCTCTCCCCCTGCAAGGGAATTTCGAAAAATTCCTTCTTAGTGTGCATTTTCATGACATACCCTAACTGTGTATCAAATTTCACCTCTTTAGATTCAGCGATTTACTCTGGGCAATGATGAATAAGTCAGTCAGGACATGTAATTTTATATATATACTAGCTGCAAGGACCTGCTTCGCTGGGTTTTTATTTGTATGTAATATAGTTTTTTTTTATATATAAAAGACTGTTTTTCTAAGTAATCTAGAATCTAGCTGCAAGGACCCGCTTCGCTGGGTTTTTATTTGTGGGCAAAAAGTAACGATAGTGAAGATTAAGATAATTACATTATAGCCAATCTTACCCGTTTTCACAGAATGCAAGAATTAGGTCCCCCGTTTCCAGACTAATTAGAGACCTGGTCCCGATTCTATTTCTGAACGTCTCCTGTTCACGTCCAGTCAAACGAACTATTTTCAACGTTTCTG